CAACTGTATTTTATAAAATTTTGATCATATGTTACGTAGTAAGGGGCCATAAGGGGCCAGAATGCTAAATCTTTGACACATTATATCTCCAAAAGGGGAAATATTTTGATAAGCAATATTGAACAAAAGATGTTCAGAATAATGTTCTAACCAATATACACCCTTTTAATTTTTGCAAGACATCCCCATTAAGGAGTTGGAGGGCTGGCACCTAAATACTGTTATTCTATATATCTCTTAAACGAAAGGAAATTTCTGAATAATTGTTGAACAAAAAGTCTTCAAAATTACAAGACCTTTCATTTGATATCAAGAAAAAGGGGCTGACCCCTCAAATTAGGGGCTCAGATGGGCCAAAAGTCTTTCATAAATTACTGAAGCAAAAATGTTTATCTTAAAGTTCTGCAACTATATATTATAAAATTTTGAACATGTTACGTAATAAGGGGCCATAAGGGGCCAGAATGCTAAATTTTTGACACCTCAAACAAGGGGAAATATTTTGATAAGCAATAATGAACGAAAGAAGCTCAGAATAATGTTTTAAACAGCATGCATCCTTTCATTTTTTACAGACGAATATCTTAGTCAAGATCTTGTCTAATCTTATCCAAAATCAGACGGAAGACCCACTCGTTGCTCGCAACGAGAACCATCTAGTTATTATTATTATTATTCCTCCCAAATTTTGTGAGCGCGATTACTCAGAGATGGTTGGATAGATTTTCACAATTTTTCACATGATAGTAGGCTGATATATGAAGTTTATATAAAATTCCGTTTTTTGAAAAATTCACTTCCGGTCCGAAGTTACGGCCGAATTTCCAATTTTTAAATGGACTTTTGTCCGGAATTTTTCTCGGAAACGGTTTGAGGTAAAGATGTGAAATTTACAGGAGTATTAGATCATGACATTCTCTTTGTTTCGAAGTTGTTTTCGTGTGTTTCCGGTACTTCCTGTCCGAACCGGAAGTGAATTTGTGTTTGGTCAATTTTCAACTTTTTTGTTTTTCAATATTTTTTCAAGATATTATTATGTATAACAGAGGTTATTCTACAAATACTAAATATATAATTTGTTTTGAAATCAGATTCCACATTTTGCAGATTTTCGGTACCGTCATTTTTCCTAGTTACCTAGTGTGTAAGCAATGGGCAAAGAAAGATAACTCTGACTTGTAAGTGAGAATAGAACTTTCGAGATAAAGGCGGAAATAGTATCGATGACGTCAGAGACATATACACTCTCTATATCAAAATATTTAGACGTTCCATATTCACTCTTCTAAATGTAAGAGTACGTTGGTTACCGCTTCCAGTGCATGTATAGTTTAAAGTTGCCAGTGTAGTGTAAGTCTGTATTGACAGTTAATTGATTTACACATGAATATATCTATAAAAAAAAATTAATATATATGCTAGGTACCTAATTCAAGTAAATATATTATAAGCACTGAATATACATTTATAGTGATGGACAGGCATGCAATTTTATCTATCTCGTATAGTAAGTTCAGAATACGATAGTTATAAGCCTTCTATAATGCAGACGATTTATTATTCTCTATGATTTGAATGCGAAATTATCCCAATTTCCGATCGATATTGAAAAATATTACATACACTCAAACAGGAATTGAGCGATAGAAAATTGTAATACAGTACTGTTTTAAAGCCTTTATAAATAAATTGATATATGCCACTTAAAAGAAAGAAAATCAATCTATAGATTAGATTTGGTTATTACATGTAAATTTGATAAAAAGTTAAATTATTTATGACACATGATTTATACTCTGTATACCCAAGGAATTATAAAAGATGCGAAAAGACGATTCTTGGATTCTTGTGAAATACTCAAAGAGTTAAAAAAAAAATGTGAAAACGCGATTCTGTGTGAAATAATGGTACGCTATATGTTTCTTTTGAAAAAAAAACATGAAAAAAAAATTGCACAGGTCTGTTGATATGTGGGATAAGTATACCTGAATGAACACAATTTTATGCAATGATATATAATTATGTTCATGCAACTGACGTCCGTACTTTTCCTTATAATTCATAAAACATAAAACTATCTAATTCCTTTGAAGCCCCCCCCCCCCTCCCCCGTCTTGAGTAATATTAATATTTGGAGACGCTCGTGCAGCTAGGTATTTGAATTATATATTCGTTTTAGATTTAAATCTGGAACATGTGAATATATATAATTACCATTTACATGTATACAGAATTTCATATTCTATAATGGTAGATTTGTCATTATGAAATGTTCAATTTACGTCTGAGAGAGAGAGAGAGAGAGAGAGAGAGAGAGATTCCCTCTTAATCCCGATCCTCCTATTCATTTACATAGACCAAAAATTAGTTCTATATCGGTCACACCCATTCTTTATTAAATGTTTTCTGATTTCATAGTCAGTCATGGTCACATCCTGTATATTTTTCAGCTAAAAAAGTATCACACGAAGTGCACGTGTGTTGACCTGTCAATCAAAATCACTTGACGCTGTATGCACTGCAATTAAGTAGCCTGAGTTCGAAATGATATTGAAGTATGATCTTTAAGTAAATCTGATGCAACAAACTTGTGAAAAAATAGAATAAAATAAAAAATAAAATATCTCTGTATTATGAACTTCGATTGTGGGACGTGGAGACCGGTCCTTTGGATGAGATCGTATAAATCGAGGTCCCTTGTCGCAGAAGGTGCTGGCATAAAAAAGATTCCCCACTGCTCAATTGCGATAAGTGCCAAAGCATAGGACAAAAATTTACAGTCTCCACCGGCGAGTGGTGGCGTCTCCATGTGAGTGAAAAATTCTGGAGAGGGACGTTAAACAACATACGTATAATCAATCAATCAATCAATCGATTGCTGAAGAATTACTGTAATTGAATAATCTGTCTTATAGGTATGCTGTCAAATCTTGATATTATAACTTTACAAAACTCAGTGACTTTACGTTTAATGTGATACTAACTTAATTCATTATATTTTTTTATAACACCAACACAATTATGCCAAAACATACACACAGTGAAGTTTATGATAGTACGGTGTTCGTTCGTCTTTTTGTTTGTCTTAGAAATGATTGCAAACAATTTTTTTTTAAATTGCTAATGATATACGTATATCTCTTATAGGTATTATACAAGATTGATAATGAAAATCAAAGTACCTTAAGTACTGAAAGGACTTTTTTCCCAGTTTTTTTTTCTTTCACAGTAAATATGATATGTATGTTTTTTACACAGAAAAAAAACAAATTCTTACAGATTTAGAAGAACGGAAGACTTTTTTGTTGCCATGGCAACAAGAGTCTAGTTATTATTATTTTTCTTCCTGGGTACTTTTTTGTCCGTGAGTGATCTCCGAAACTACACATCCGATTGAGATGAAACCTTTTTAGGGTTAATAGGAATGTTATGTAGATTTGCGGAACGAAGGTCATTTTGCGCGCACGCGCATGCACGTGCGTGCGCGTGCAATGCGTAAAATGACCAATATACTTGATATAGCTATAACTTTTATATTTTTTGATGAAATGCTTTGATACTCAGAATATTAGGATGTATTTAAAGTGTAGACAAGATGACATGGTCAGAATGCGCATGCATGCACGTGAGCGCATGCGCATTGATTAAAATTACCAATACAATTGATATAGACTTAACTTGTACATTTTTTAATGAATTGCATTGAAACTCAGAATATAAATATATATTAGAAGTGTACACAAGAAGACTTGATCAGCACACTCATACATGCACGTGCGTGCACGTGCGCGCGCGTGCAATGAGTAAAATGACAGATATACTTGATATAGCTATGACTTTCATATCCTTTGATGAAATGCTTTGATACTCAGGATATCAGGATATATTAAAAGTGTAGACAAGATGACATGGTCAGAATGCACATGCATGCACGTGTGCGCATGCGCAATGATTTAAATAACCAATACAAAGGATATAGACTTCACTTGTACATTTTTTGATGAATTGCTTTGAAACTCAGAATATAAATATATATTAGAAGTGTACACAAGATGACATGATCAGCGCACACATGCATGCACTTGCAAGCACGTGCGTGCGCGTGCAATGAGTAGAATTTCCAATATACTTGATATAGCCAAAACTTTCATATATTTTGATGAAATACTTTAATACTCAGAATATAAAGATATATTAATAGTATAAACAAGACGACATGGTCAGCATGCACATGCATGCACGTGCATATGCGTGCAATGAGTAAAATTACCAATATACTAGATATAACCATAACTTTTACACTTTTTGATGTAATGCTTTGATACTCAGAATATATAGACCCTTTATAAATGTAGACAAGACGAGATTGTCAACATGCACATGCATGCACATGCGCGCGCATGCAATGCTAAAATGACCAATTTACTTGATATAGCTGTAACTTTTACACTTTTTGATGAAACGCTTTGATACTCAAAATGTTTAGATATATTAATTGTGTTGACAAGATGACACGGTCATCATGGACATGCATACACGTGCGCGCGCTTGCAATGCGTAAAATGACAGATATACTTAATATAGCCGATTTTTTTTATCTTTTGATGAAATTTGAATAGAAAGATGTATTAAAAGTGTAGACAAGTTGACATGGTCATTTTTTACAGCCATGCCCGTGCGCCCGCGTGTAATGCGTAAAAAAACCAATATACTTGATTGCCTTTTTTAATGAAGCTTACAGGGAATAAGACACCAAAAGGAAGTTGGGGAGCGTTTGGGGAACATCTGTAACGGTCCCCGTTACAATTAATACTAGTTTTTCCCTTAAGCTACATGTATTTAATTTCAAAAGGGCTTTATATGAAAATTGCGAGTAGTCTTATAAAATTGCGAGTTCACTTTCTTGGTAATTGCAATTATTTGCGAGTTGTAATTTCAGGGAGTTTCTAACCCTGGATAAACAGATTCATGTTGAAACATCAGGTTTTTTTTTTCTATAGAAAAGAAACAGACAGTTAGGTTTTCAGTCCCAGTAAAGGAGCAAAAGGAAAAGAGACCGAGGAAAATAAAGGTACTGAGTATTTATATAAAATGTATATTGTAATGGTTTGGGTTGTGGATATCGGGCTGGGCAGCTCAGTAAGTAGAGCATCTGACTAGTGATGCAGGGTCCCGGGTTCGATTCCCAGTCCAGCCATACATTTTCTCCTTTCCTGTTACAGATTTGGTGCGGTTGACCACCCCTGGACTTGCAGGTGAAAGTCCTGCCAGGGGCAAATAAGAACTTGGGTTGTGTCTTTGAGGGTGAAGACAATTTAAGGTCAAGGGAGGAATGTAATGGTTTGGGCTGTGGATATTGGCCTGGGTAGCTCAGTCGGTGGAGCACCTGACTAGTGATGCAGGGGTTCTGGGTTTGATTCCCGGTCCAGCCATGCATTTTCTTCTTTCCTGTTCCAATATTATATATCTCATTTGTATACATGTATTTTACTGATCAATGTATATTCCGTTTCATTCAAAATATCAAAGTCTTTCAAAATAAGTTTTCTGTTGTTTGTTTGTATGTTGTTTAACGTCCCTCTCGAGAATTTTTCACTCATATGGAGACACCACCACTTGCCAGTGGAGAGCTGCAAATTTTGTCCTATACTTGGCACTTACGGCTTTTGAGCAGTGCGGGATCTTTTTCGTGCCAGCACCTACTGTGACACGGGACCTCGGTTTATATGGTCTCATCCGAAGGACCGGTCTCCACGTCCCACAGTGGGATTCGAACCCGCCATGTAAGGATCAACTCCTTACTTCGCGACTCTAGAGCAGACACTCTAACCACTGCGCCATGGGGGCGACTTCAAAATAAGTGAACAAAAAGATAAAGTGTATGCCAATGAAATATATTGTGCATGATATACATGTATCAGTGTGTAATAGATTTGATCATTTTTATTGTGGTATTTTGCTATTAGCAGAAAAGAAGCATTCTAAACATAATACATTTAAAAAACATAAGCAAAGATTTAGTGGTTCAAATGTAGAACACATTCTTTGTGAATTCTAAGTATCATAATTTTTCTTTCTTTTTTTTTAAATAAGAAATTTATTCTTAATTTTTTAAATAATAATTTCCTGTTCTGATTTTTTTAGACTGAAAAAAGTATAATCGAGACAAACAAAATAGAGCCACGTACATATCCACTTCGAGTACAAGAAAGACTTAATTACATGGATGTTGAAGTGCCAGATGATGACGATTTTATTTGTAGGTATCATTATTCATTATTTTTAATAATAGAACTTAAAGGAATAAGACTCTATGCTGTGAACTAACTTGAACTTTACGCTGTAGTTTTTAACAATTAATTTTTGCAAGAAATATATCCCTATATTGAAAGGCTTAATTCATCTCTGAGCTTAAAGTAAAGGGTGTTTTAAAGTAAAACCATTTCCTCTCAATGCTAAAATTTTAGGGGTTCAAAATGCTAATGTTGTTTTGAAACCAACACAGTTTATTTTATTTAGGGATGGCAACGAATATTCGAATATTCATTCGATGAGTTGATATTCGAATATGAATTCAAGATTCGAATATTCGATGTTTTTCAGATTTCATAAAAAGAAGTACTGTGATTAATAAATTTTGATTAGAACAATGCTGGAATTTTCCCTGTTTAATTTACTAGCGATCAATTTTTCTCACTACTTTCTATCTTATAAATCTACTGAATTACATGTATTTTGTCTTGAGTAAGGCGTTAAGGAATTGTACAAAAATGCTTTATTTATAATACAAAACGTATTTTCATAGTTTTTATTAGTTAGATACGATCGGATCTAGAATCGAGGACAAAAATGAAATCTATAAATGTCTAAAAGGCGTGAAGGGCATACTTATCAAAATTAAATTAATTGATTATTGAATGAATGTCCGATAGAATAAATCTGTAATTAGTATTGTAAAGGGCTTAATTTCAGAATAAGTGTGTAAATTACTTAATTATCTCGGGTTGTACATAATCCTGAATTTTATATTCATTATTGGGAAATTAGTTAATTACCTAGGAAAATTGCCCATGGAAGTATTTGTTTACATTGTATCAAAGATTATAATCATATTACTTATCAGGCAGATAATTGTAATTCATTACACGTATTGAAATCTGAACAGTATACCGTTACGACTATCTTGCCTTTTGTGAGACGACTGGTTCCTCAGGTGGGGCTACTATAAATACACGTTTCATTTGTTAAAATTATACTTTTCTACATTTAAATCAATTATTTATTTCCAACATTGACAAATATCAAATGGAATTTATTATTGTTGTACACCTACAAAAGTCTTCATACAATTTTACTTCCAATATAAGTATAGATACGCTAAACCTTTCATGAGAGTAGGATGATGCATATTTAAAATAAAACAGATTTATTTTTTTTTATTGAATATTCGAATATATTCGAATACTTTCATTGAATATTCTAATATGAATTATTGACAAAATTGACATCCCTAATTTTATTATTATTGTTTTTTTTTTATGGTTTGGGGTGGATTAATTAGGGCTCTAGCTATTAATGACTGTGAAGTATTGAACCGCATTAGATAAATGATAGGAATGAGTTCAAAATATGGCTTTGCCCATACACTGTGTACATTGGGGGGTGGGGGGGGGGGGGGGTTGAGAGTAAAGAGTTCAAGCTATGGTTGCAAAAATTCAAAAGTTCAGTGGAGGGATTGAAAATATGATGACTGTGAAATATGGATACCCCATCCCCACCCCTGTAGTTAAATTGTTAAAATGGGGGAGGGGTGAGTTATGGTTCTGTTACACATTAAACCCCAATTTGATTTCAGTGGTTAAGAGGATTGGGTTCAAGATATTATAGTTGTGATATATTGATGGTCTCCTTTTTTGCCCACGGATCAAAAGATCACGGGGGTATATTGTTTTTGTCCTGTTTGTCTGTGACTGTTGTCAACTTTAACCTTGCCCATAACTTTTAGATAGTTGGAGCTATGAGTTTCATATTTCACGTGTATTCCTTGCGACAAGACCATTCTTTTGGTACCATCATATTAGACCTCTTGAACTTGGAGTTTGACCCACTTTTGCAAAATTTTATGAGACTTGAACCTTGGCCATAACTTCTAAACAGTTGGTGCTTGGGGGTTTAAACTTCACATGTGTATTCTGTGTGACAAGACCTTCCTTTGGATACCAACAACTTTGACCTTTTGACCTTGACCTTGGAGTTTGACTTACTTTTGAAAAACTTTAACCTTGGCCATAACTTTTGAACAAATGCTTGGGGTTTCAAACTTTATATGTGTATTTCTTGTGACAAGACCTTCCTCTGGATACCAACCATTTGACCATTTGACATTGACCTAGGAGTTTGACCTACTTTTGAAAAACTTTAACCTTGGCTATAACTTTTGAGTGGTTGGTGCTAGGGCTTTCATACTTCACATATGTAATCCTTGTGAGTTGTGACATCACCTTTCTTTGGATACCAACCACTTTGACCTTGACATAGGAGTTTGACCTACTTTACAAAAACTTTAACATTGGCCATAAATTTTGAATGGTTGATGCTAGGGCCTTCATACTTCACATATATAATCCTTGTGACAAGACCTTCCTTTGGATACAAACAATTTTGACCTTGACCTTGACGTTTTACTTACTTTTAAAAAACTTTTGAACAGTTGCAGCTAGGGCTTTCAAATTTCACAGGTATATTCCTCAAGACAAGACCTTTCTTTAGGTACCAACATTTTCTTATCTTTTGGCCTGGATTTTGACTTGCATTTGAGAAACTTTAATCTTTGCCATAAGCTGTCATACGGGGGCATCAGTGTTTCACAAACGCATCTTGTTTTATTAATGTAGATTGTGAGGAATGTAATCGGGAACATGAAGGTGACTGTCCAGTACATGGTCCACTGTTAGTGGTCAGTGATACAGAGGTAAGTAGATAAGAACATAAAGGTGACTGTCCAATTTACATATGTTCAACAGTGCTAATGGTGTGATACAGTGGTAAGTATAGTTGTAGGAACACAAAGGTGACTGTCCAATACATATGGTCCACTGTTAGTGGTCAATGATACGGGGGTAAGATGTAGGAATTTAACATGAAGATGAGTGTCCAATATATATGGTCCACTGTTAGTGGTCAGTCATACAGAGGTGAGGTGTACAGGGTTAATTTATCACAGCTATATAATTATAATTTGTAGTTTAAGATAATCTTAAAGTCTAGCTGTGATTCATATTGTGAAGTAATTGGTTACTGATACTCTCATATTTCATGTGAATATGTCAATATTGCATTGCTAAATATTCAGAGAGTTTGGAATTATTTTGTAAGGGAGATAATAAAGATGTTACAATTTAATGATAATTAATTATATTCTCATGAAGTCATCACATTTTCACAAATTCAAAAACTATCTTTTATATTCCGTTTGAACCATACACTTTTATAACTATATTTGCAAATTAACTGGCCAGGGAAGTCTTATTAAAGAGCAAGAGCCACTTAATTGGGGCCTTTTTGGCCCTGAGAATTTCTGACAAATCGGAACTGCTCAGTTTTGATTGAAAATGCAGTATTTATAACTTGGACCCTTGGTGACTGTGTATCTATTGAACATGACGTAATTTTCTCTCTAGTCAATGATTATGACGTCATAAAATGTGTCATTTTCCCCATATCTTGTTAATTCCATTAAAAATGGCCAAAATATGAGGTAGATTTTCAATATTTCATATAGAGCACAACCTCTGATCCAAAATATGCAATAACATAATGAAAGATCTGTTTCTGAAGATCACAAAACATGTTTTAATTTTTAGATCGTGGGCTGTGCTCATATTTTAATTCTTTGCTGAAGGTAGTCAAATACTCATGTTTTCTGCGAAATTCAAGAACATTGCATTTTCCCAAAGCCTGTTTTCCAATACCTGGATTCACAAAAAAAATTGTGTTATTTAGGAAATGAAAGCACCATGTCTCTACATTATTCTGATATATGAAATGGGACAGAGGGTGATAGTCAATTAATTGATATAAGGACAGGGCCATTTCATGCATAAAGTGAACCTAGCTCTTTGATTAATTTTTAGCAACCCCAAGGTATTCCTGACAGAGCCAAGAAAACCCTTCCAATCGGCCTCTCAGTAAGAGAGTCAAATATTTTCAATGCTGGACAAGGTGTATTTGCTGATAAATTTTTCCTGAAAAGAACCAGATTTGGTCCATATGAAGGAGAAGTAACTGAAAATCAGGACGAAGCCCAAGAAACTGGATATGCTTGGCAGGTATGTTGTTCAACCTCCAAACTCCAGGTTACGTCTAGCTGCAGATTTGTAGCTTAAATTGCTGGTCTGCAAAAAAATTGAGGTGGACAACAAGAGAGCAACTGTAAGAGCAACCCTTACTTTTTGAAAAAAAAATGTGTGCCATTTCTCAATTTATTTCTCCATATATTGAAACTGCCATCACAAAATACAATTAACCCTGTTGTCCTTGCATATTCTTTTAGTATTTTCTCAACAAAACATTCCCCATAACTTGTTAATAACCCTCCTGGGCCTGAAATAAAACCATCAAAAATTTCATCAATTTATACTATTATTTTGGGTGACAGACAATTTGGCCCAACAGGCTTTGTATCATATGCAGGGCTTAATTGACCCTTTTTTTGGTGCAGGGACCTGTGCCCTTTCAATTGGTAATTAAATACATGTACTGAAAAAAAAAATTGAAAATTTTTGAAATATTGATGAAATGTATGTTTTACTGTAAAATAATGACAATTATATTTTAAGCAATTATCTTCTATGCACATATTATATAATCTCAAAATTCAATACTTGTATTACCATTCTTTATCTGTATAACAAACTGCAAAATTTGAACTATTTTTGTTTACAACTGGTCAATTTCATTGTGTTATTTGCTTAGATATATAAAAAGGGCCAACCAAGTCATTTTGTGAATGCCTTTAAAGAACCCTGCAGTAACTGGATGAGATATGTCAACTGTGCTAGATCAGAAATAGAACAAAATCTAGTAGCCTTTCAGTACAAAGGACAGATATATTACAGATCTTTTAAAGACATTTCTGCAGGGACGGAACTCTTGGTATGGTACGGTCATGATTATGGGAAAGAACTAGGGATATTCAGAGAACACATAGATGTTACTCCAAAAATTGTGAATGGAGAGGGTAAGTTTATTATTCTGTATTTGCAATGGGAATGGGACATTTAAAAATTCTGAGAATTTGATATCAGCCTTTGAATGGAAGTTAATGTTTTTTGTATTATCGAATGACAAGGAAATACACAGTATTCTAATTTTAATACAATTAAGTCAAATCTTGTTATCTTGAACTCGATGAGACTGAGAAAAAACTTTGACATATAAGAGGGATTGAAAATCAGATATTGAGGGTAAAATTCTTAAAAGAAAAAGTACTTGGGACTTCCAAATCACTTCAAAATATCCATGGTATTTAAGATATCAGTGTTTGAGATACTGAAGTTCAACTGTAATTGGTCAGATAGTAATAAAAAGAAGCACAATGTGTAACGAAAATGCTAAGGTATAATTAAAGTATTAATGAAATTATAAGAAAAAAAATTGTATTTGTGTATTATTGTATGCATTAAGTTTCTTCTTTACTTGTAGAATTGTTCTGTTGTCCTTGGTGTCAAATGGGATTCAGCAGTAAAGAGTTTATGGAAAAACACTGTAAATATAAACATGGATACAGTTTGTTCAAGAATATTGAGCCATATACAGGACCTGATGGTAATAAGTTTTGTTTTCTTTGCTATCTAATTTTCATATAATGCTGGTTTGAATGCAAGACATTTTCTGAAATGGATAAATTTTAAAACAAAAATGAACTGAATTTACCTTTGTTAAAAAAAATAGAGAAAAAAAATTTAATACATGGATAATTTATCCCAAAAAATTATGTTTTTACTGCAGATATATTTCCTTGCCAATATTGCAAACTCTGCTTTAGTACCTCTGACTTTCTTAAAAGACATGTATTGCATTGCCGAAAGAAAGGAAAAGAAAATAATGTCTGTTCACATTTAATCAGACCCTTGGGGTTTCAGGTGAGTTTCCAATTATTTTTACAATTAACATAAAGATATAGATTGACTTTCCAAGTTGTGTCCAGGATTTTGAAATGTAATTAGATGAAATTTTCAGTGACTTTACATTTTTTTACCTAATGTGATTTACATTAACTTTAGACACATATCATAGTCGATGCTTTATTTAGTAATGCTTGTATGTTATAATACTGAATGAAAACTACATGTTGAAAAAGCAGAAGATAAAGTAAGAATTTATTATGATAAATCATCTACATCTATTTTTATGTACAAATTATCAAATAAGCATAGGAATATATATTAAAACAGAGGGTTTGGTAATAGGGACATGAAATAGAATACATGAAAATGGGAAGTACATATGTTTTTCTTTCAAAATCAGAAGTAGTGGGGGCCACACTAAAAGATATTAGTATCGAAATATTCCCAAATTTTGTATTTGAGTTCATTAGGATTATGGACCCAGGGATAGGGTGGGTCTAAAAACATGGAAAAATTTTTGCATAGTCTGTATATATATATATATATATATATATATATATATATATATATATATATATAGGATCTCCCATGATTTGTAGTTGGATATGATTTTTATCCAACGAGTTGTGTGTTTTTTATCCCCGAGCCTTGGCGAGGGGATAAAAACACACAACGAGTTGGATAAAAATCATATCCAACTACAAATCATGGGAGATTCTTTTTATCCCATGTTTAATACTTCACAACCAATGTTTTACACTGTTTTATACAGGACTCCACTTTATTTTACTTCATCGCGCTAACCCAAAAACCATTGTGACGTCACAACTGTGGATTATGAAAAAATTATCCAATGAGTCATATCCACGGGATAAAGGGGTAAACATGGGATAAATATATATATAATATATATATAAGGGGAAAAAACCCTCAAACAACAAATAAAACCATGTTAGTGATTATTTTGATTTTAAAGCATCCCCATTTTGTTTGGTTATTTCATGGTCCCTTGTAGCTAGAATGGGGCCATATCATAAAGAGTCAAATTTATTTAGTCTTTGGCATCCCTTTATTCAGCTCCTCAATTTTTTAAAAAAAATATTTTTTGGATTTCCAATATTTTGGCATGAGCATGTGGTCCACTGTCGAAATGCACATCTGGTGCATCCAAATTTGTATCATACAAGATTTACATTATATCCCCTGAGCTGAGGCCTCTGCTGGTGGACTGTTAGTCCCCAAGGGTCTCTACTGCCCAGTAGCTAAGTACTTGGTACTAGCTTGAAAATATGGATGTATATAAATCGCTTTGGTAAAATTTAGAAATTTATTTCAAAATCAAGGATTATCTCCCTCATGCATAGCTCTGATCCTTCAGTGTATTTGGCTCCAGTCTTTGGCACCCTTTTTAAAGCTCAATCTTCAAAGTTTTTTTAATTAAATATTTCGGATTTCCAAAGATTTGGCATGAGGATCACTGAAGAGACATAATTTGTTGAAATGCACATCTGGTGCATCAGAATTGGTTAAAGATTTACTTTGTTATAAGAAAGTTTTTATTGGGGGGGGGGGGGGGGGGGGAGGGAATTTAAACATCAGCAGAATGACATATGCTTACTCAGTTGAGCATTGTGATCATAAGGCCATGGGTATATTGTACATATTTTGTGGATGTCTAATAATGATGCTTAAGACTAAACTATATATATAAAACTAGAGTAAGTGTCATAATTATAAGAATAACTTGACTTTTATGGATAAAACGATATGTCATCCGATTTACCCACAAAATTATGTTCTAGTTTTGTATATAGATGATAAAACTCCGTTAAAAGCAATTCACAGTACATGTTGTTAAGTAATTAATTTGAAAAATTTACACAAGGAAAGGGGTTAAGTTTTAAAAAACAATCTCACAGATTTGTATATAAAGCATATTAGTTTAAAACTTAATGACCCAAATATACTGCTTTGTTTATTTTTATAGAAAGCTAAAGTCACGTTCTAGGTTTGGTTGTCAAGATCTCAAATTAAATTGTTAGGCCTCTGATTCTGGAGCTTCTTTCAATATTAGATATTTAAGTAACATGCCTATTATGGTATCATTTTTAAACATATATCGGGATATAAATACGGGTTGGTACGAGATCAAATTTACCATAAAGCCCTATTTGATCTTGTGAACCAACCCAGTAGCCAGATATATGTTTGAAAATGATACCTTATTTCTTAAATGTCATTGTACTCTACAACCATGTTAATAATGATTTCTTTATTATCCACATAGGTTGTAAGACAAGTGAAAAGGAGATTTTCAGATATCCTTACTGATACTCCAGTGTGCAAGAACATCACCATTGCTGACAGTATATCAAAACCTGCATATTCTGAGAAAAAGCATATTGAGGAGGAAGCTAAAATTCACGTAAAACTAACTAGAGGTAAACATCATGGTAAATGCAATTATTCTGAAAAATTATTCTCCTCTTCAAAAGAAAAACAAAGCGATCTAGTTCATGTAAAGAATACAACTGTGAATGACAAGATTACAAAATTTATTTCTGTAACAAATCCTTTTAAATGTACTGTTTGTGATAAGATGTTTATTCGGAGTGAAAATTTATACAGATATTTGTTAACACATACAGGTGATAAGCCATATAAATGTGATGTGTGTGGGAGGGCATTCAACCAGTCACAGAAATTACAAGGACACATGAGAACACATACAGGTGATAAGCCTTATAAATGTGACGTGTGTGGGAAGGCATTCAACCGGTTAGGTAACTTACAGAGACACATGAGAACACATACAGGTGATAAGCCTTATAAATGTGATGTGTGTGGGAAGGCATTCAACCGGTTAGGTAACTTACAGAGACACATGAGAACACATACAGGTGATAAGCCTTATAAATGTGATGTGTGTGGGAGGGCATTCAGCCAGTCAAGTCCCTTACAGAGTCACATGAGAACACATACAGGTGATAAGCCTTATAAATGTGATGTGTGTGGGAAGGCATTCAGCCAGTCAAGTCCCTTACAGAGTCACATGAGAACACATACAGGTGATAAGCCTTATAAATGTGATGTGTGTGGGAAGGCATTCAGCCAGTTAGGTCCCTTACAGAGTCACATGAGAACACATACAGGTGATAAGCCTTATAAATGTGATGTGTGTGGGAAGGCATTCAGCCAGTCAAGTCCCTTACAGAGTCACATGAGAACACATACAGGTGATAAGCCTTATAAATGTGATGTGTGTGGGAAGGCATTCAGCCAGTCAAGTCCCTTACAGAGACACATGAGGACACATACAGGTGATAAGCCTTATAAATGTGATGTGTGTGGGAAGGCATTCAGCCAGTTAGGTCCCTTACAGAGTCACATGAGAACACATACAGGTGATAAACCTTATAAATGTGATGTGTGTGGGAAGGCATTCTCTGATTCAAGTTCATTTCAAAAACACAAGAGGACACATACAGGTGATAGGTTTAAATGTAGTGTCAGTGGGAAGTTATATGGCCAGTCGGTAATTAGTTAATATATAGCAGAGATGCATGAGGATACACGGGAAAAACAGTCCAAATTTATATGCAGGTGCTTAATGATGACAATGAAATACTATTCTTGCAGAGACATGTAAGAAATTATGCAAGTTGCAACAGAACGAGCTACTTAGCTGAAGGACGTGTATATTTATTATATTTTGAGAAGAAATTTATTCCCATATATGAGATTTCTGATGAAATATGAGTTGTAAATAAACGGTTTAAATGAAACTTACAGGACCTTTGGACAAACATTCTTTATCTATGTCATTATGAATTAAATCAATTAGATTTTTCTTGAGCTAATTTCAAAATGAATGCATGCATGTCATGAGGTTAATCTAATTTTTCATGAGTTTACTTCTAGTATATATGTTTTATACAATTTTGTTTACTTTTGAAGATGTATGAAAATAATCATGTATATGTACAATTTCTTTTTCTTCTGAATTATTGTCACTAATAGTATAATTAATGCATGAGAATAGACACTTGATTTTAATATATATTGTTAATAACAATAAAACTTTCATCTAAAAGTAACTACGTAACTTAATCCTTGAAGAATTGTCGTAGTAGGAACTAATAAATACGCTAGACCTTAGAGTGTGTAATTATAATGCATGATCAAATATTCTTGTATTATAAAAAGCAGTGTCATTACAAACTCTGAATACAATTATCACATGGATATAGACATAGAACTACATTAATTTCATGAAAATTACAAACCGGTACTACATGTGAAGTTATTGTGGTACCATTTTACAAGTAAAGGTAGTTCAAAGCAGGTAATATTCAGTCACAATGAAAGCAAACGTACATGTAATACAGATAATAAGAATCAAACCCAAGGGATTAGGGTGGAATTTTAAACATGTGAAGGCCAACAAACTAAGAGAGGGTGGGGTTATATTAGTTGCAATAGTGTAGCCCTCTTCGATTTTTTTTTTGTTTGGGGGGGGGGGGGGCTCTCCCGAAAACATTAGATAAAAAATAATCGGCGAGAGCTACATTATTCTCAAGTAAGAAGTTTCTAAAGAATTTTCGAAACGGGAACCTGTATATTCCCTGTTCACAGAGAGAATTCAGAACATTTGACGCAAAATAATATGAATCACCCCTCTTGATTTGGGCAATTCTACACTAAACTGGTACTAATTTTTTGTACGAGATGAAAAATTTGATGTAACTTTCCTGTGTTTACCAGATTTAGTAAAATGAAGGGCGTGTTGAATATTTTGTATACGGTATTTGAGCGTGATTGATAAGACCCTATTTTTGGTTTTCAAGCACCTACTCGACTTCGACCAATAAAAACTTTTATGCTGCTTTAGTATATGCATGGCTACGGGGGGGGGGGGGGGGGGGGGAGTATAATACTAAAACATTTAGAAAGAATTTCTTTACAAGATCTAAAAAGGAATCCTCTCACAAGTTTGTTTTCAATTAGGGCCACCTACTCAAAGTTGTACATTTCTGTTAAGAATATATGTAAAATTTAATACGGTAGCAAGTACACTGACTTTTGTTTGGTCTCTGGTAGTTTTCTTCCAAACACTAAGACAGCTCTTACAAAGTGAAACAAGAGGAATTATATTTACATTTCACTGCACCTTATGATATGACACAGCCTCTTTTACATTATATTTGTTAAAATACTTTTTTTTAAATTTTGAAATTTTTATTTTCAAACTTTTTTTATTTAAAGGGGGTGGGGTGCATGTTGTTGAAACCTTTGGGGAAATATAAACACAGGGGGTTATCAAAAGTTCGGGGACTGGTGCTATAAAATCTATGTTATGTGAGATAGAACTGTCATATTTTCTATTTATCAACAAAAATACTTTAAAGTAGTCATAATGCAGATTTTTACTGATAAATAGAAAATATGTCAGAAAGATAGAACTACCAAATTTTCCTCACTTCCTAATACTGACTCGGATTGATGAGAACCAAAAATACAACTAGTACTTTTCAATTGACTGTGTCTTGCGTACCCGGCGCAACATTACTTACTTTGTCCTTGAGCACACAAGGCCAGTGAAGGCCTCACATTACATTTAGGTAATTTCACTTTATTATGAGTGACTTGAACATACATGTATTTATTTCTTAAATAAAAGTTAACATAAAAGGATTGGGCAGTCTTCTCCCAGCGCCTTTGATTTATGAGATCATTTTTGTTTTATTCATTTTTATTTTGTTTTATTTCTTGGATCGAATTTTGTACGCTCGCCAAACTTGTGTGTACATATATTGTCAAATTTAAAATCATTTAAACAGAAAACATAATAAAACGTTATCATGCCAGACCACGATTTTTTTTTTAATAATCCCTCGAACATGTCTCTAAATACTTTTTCATGTAACATTTACATCTGATATAATAGAAAAAATATCGAGACATATTTCTCTAACGAAAATAACCAGATCGATATATAAATTATTCAAAGTTATCTTTATTTAAAACAAATGTTAGTCAAACCAACATACAATCAATGAATCAATACCATTGATGCAATTAGACGTAGGGTATTAGTACATCTTTGAATTTGAAGTTGGCTGTCTATTACATCTGCAATAAAAGTCCAGATATTAAACCTCCTCCTACCTTGATCGTCTAGATCTCAGATATTCCACCGTCCCAAATGTCAAAGAATTCCTCCTAGGATCCGCTCCCGGGTTAACAAGGGATCCTCGTCGTGTATTTGATAACATTTTTTTTTAAATTTTAGGTCCGCAGGATAAAAAAAATTGTTCACAACTCTCTACTTCTCTATAAACTACCTGTTGTTTAGAAAACTGCCTTTAGTAACTTAAATATTCGGGTTTACATGTAATCAGAAACGATTGATTTCTTTCTCGAAATCGTCATTAAAATTTCCAGTGTGATGTGAATAATTTACTCCAGCTCATTTTTCTCTCCGAATCATACGCTCAAATGTTTGGTCAATTTCTACATAAAGAAGTCATCACATGTGAAAGCAATAGGACCCCTAGTTTACAAATGCAGGAAAATGTCCATTCCATTAAAGTTTGCCCGTCAGTTTGTTTGTCCAGTTTTGATAATGACCATACAGTGGTCAGTTTTATAGGTGTTTTATTGGGGCTATATGAACGGTCACCCGGCTTATAATGAAGTGGTGGAGATTCAGGCAGGTTATGAAGGATATATTGAAAAGTTTGAAGTATAGAACATAATTAAAGGTATCAGTTTCAAATATCAAATATACGTGTATTTTTCACCAAAATCACATCCTGTATGATCTGATCCGTTTTGATTTTATTAATTATTCGTTTATTCTCTCCGCAGAAACTTAAAATCCTATGAAATTTCAGAAACGACCCCTGTCACCCCTTAATGAAAAAATTACGTCTTTCTTCTCATGTTTCTTTTTTCCCCCGAAAATTGATCGACATTAATTTAAAATGATACACATTCTTGATATGCCTCGAGGTAATACTGACACTGCAGATCATGTAAGTTGATCATTTTCAAACATAATTGAATAGTATATAGCTGTGAGTGGAACAATTGAAAAAAATTGGACATATACGTATCTTTACGCTGAAGCAATGTGAGAAATTTACGTTTTTTAAACCTCAAAAAGGCATCAAATCAGTATATGAAACACATGCATAATGATAATGTAGATAAAAGTCCTATATTGTTATACTGTTTTCAAAAGTTTTTAGATGCGTTTGTTTTAGAAGTAAAGATAAATACAAGTAATTAATTGAAAGACGCTGTAAAAATTGAGAAACCCGGGGGGTGATCACATGTCAACATTCATGCGAATTGTTTTCAAAAAGAGATAGAGAATGGGATCCTTAAACTGCATGATGAATAATTTTTTTTTTCAAAATGAAATTTTTAAGTATTTTGATGGGGAACTGGGAATTATTACACTTAGATGTTTTTTGAATACTTGATACTCACCGTGCAAATGAAATCCTAGATTTGGCAGACGAGCGTGGAGTTTTAGTTCCGTGCCCTGGGGTGCTTTGTCCGGAGTTTGAATCAGATGAGGTGCGGGATCTGTTGACACTACTACTTCTCTTGGACGCAGACATAATCCATCAGTGACAAAATTTATTGTATAGACAACATACACTTCCAAAAAGACACAAAAATATAATTTTTTTATGAATGGCAGGAAAATATTTTTCTCTTTTCGATGCCAATGAAAAGTCTAGATCCGTTAATGCTTTTCACATTGTACTTTTTTCTCCTTCCTTTTAATAACACTAAAATGCTTCCCTTAAGATAGATAAAGGTAGTTAATCTATCTTTTTTTCATCTGATACAACGCAAACTCTTTTTCTGAATGAAATCTTACTGGAAAATTAAAAATTTTCATAAACCCATCTTCCTTCGTATCCTGTCTGCTTGAAAATGGTACTTTGCTGTGTATAGAAGCAGACATATATCTTAATGCCCTAATGAATTTATAATAATATTGACAAAGAAGGAAAAACAATGGATATAAACGAATATTCAGGAATCGATAGGGCGGGGAATTGTAGGTCGATTTTTCGCGCCACAGTTTCTAATCGAAACACGCGTCTCTATTGATTAGTCGCACTTGAAAAGGACAGATGTATTGTACTTTTGTAAGGTGTTGTAGTGCTTATATGTAATAATGTTTAATTAGTGGCGAAGAAATCGTTGAAAAAAGACAGTTGTAAAAATTGCAGATCAAGTTAGTAGACCCTCAAAGAGGGCAATATTCTCTCGATAATTTAAAAAATGGTATAAGAGGCAAGAGCTTAGAATCCTTGATTTGTCTTAGATGAGTCTTACATGTATGACAGCTACATTGGGTTAGTTTGATAAGAAATTCAGAAGACGAATATGTCTAACAGCCATTAGCCTTTCAATAAATACGGCTAACCCCAACAATTTTCGAATTATTTTGCCAGAAGACATTTTTTTATTTACCTGCTGTGTTAATGCTAGACTTTCTAGACTCAGAGTATGTGTCTTTATAATTTTTTAATATATATATTATATTTATAACATAAATGTTTGTAAATAATCTCAATTTATTTGTTATGACAATCATACTGTACACTATTCATTGTTTGTGTAACAAGAAGAAGATCTATTAAGAGGGCTGGGTGGATGTGGCCATTTTCAGACAATATTGATCTCCTTTAGAAGAAGAGCTCCATATAAAATATACAAAAATGATCAAATTTTAAAACTAAAATGTATGAAATTTTTGTTTGCCAAATGATAGTTGACAGCTTAAGATATCATATCTAAAATATTAAGTTATATCTGATGGTTAATTTGTTGACCCCCCAGCCTCCTTAAAGTTACACTCTGAGTCAATATCATGTGTT